GTTTTCTATTTCATTCAGCTGTGAACTAATCAACTGATTACAGAGCAACTATTTTGGGAGTTATCCTTATACATTTTTTCTTCCTTTCTCTTTCTCTTCCTTCCTCCCTCTGTTCCTTGATGCTGTCCCTTAACATTTTAACACATTTAGTTGAACTTGACTTATGAAAAGCTAATATTTATCAGTATTTCTCTGTGCCTCTTGAATATCAAGGGCCTTAGAATCTTTACATTCTAAGCCTCTACCTTATATTGTAATTGTTGAGTGGCGTTTTGATTTGGCTTTGCCTTGTTTGACAGCTCTGCCAGTTGGTTATTTCGAACATGTTTTATACAGTAATACTTGTTTAGATTTGCCCGTGTTTACTGCCATTTCTGTCTTCATCATTGCTTCTGGAATTCTCTTCCTCCCTTCTATGCAAATTTCTTTCTTCTTGCAGTATATCCTTAGTTGTTCAGAATCTCATCACATATATCAAGCCCATAGGTGGATGGGGCCCTTCAGGTAAAATGCCTCAAGTGTAGCTCCTCTGAGATAGCTCCTCTAGATCTGAAGCCTGTGAATTAGAGCAGTTTTCTGTCCCTCTCCACCTGACATGTAATGGTGGGAAAGGCATGAGATAACCACTCTATATACTGGTCTATAGAAATTCTCAAATCCATTAGGGCATGGGTTATCAGGTCTTTTTTTTTTTAAGATTTTATTTATTTATTCATGAGAGACACACAGAGAGAGGCAAAGACATAGGCAGAGGGAGAAGCAGACTCCCCATGGGGAGCCTGATGCGGTACTCGATCCCAGGATCCCGGGGATCATGACTTGAACGAAGGCAGACACTTAACCACTGAGCCACCCAGGTGTCCCTGGGCTGTCAGTTTGTGATGAGAGCTCAAGATCTGGCAGGAATTCTTCATTGGAATTACCTCCTGGACTCTTGGTTCCATTGTCAGTCATCTTCCTGGTCCACAAAAGGTAACCCATCTTTGAAAATTTAGTTTTCTCAGCCTACTTCCTGCTTGTAGTGTTTCAGTGTCTCAAGTCTTTTTCCTTTTGCACTGCCTCTGCCTCTTTCAGTTCAAGCTGCCAGGTGGTGTTTCTCATGGAATTCTCTTCGAAAACTTCATGTGTCGTCTCTTATTTTTATTGGGGTTCACTCCATGAAGCAAAGCCACACTCACACAACTTTTTGAGATAAGCCCTTCCTTAACTTAGTTTCTGCTCTTGACTCCTTTGGCTTTCTTGAAACTCTAAAATTTCACTGAATGATTCTTAACAAAGCATTTCTCAGTCACTCCCTCAGCTTCATCTTCATACCATGTTCTCCTAAGATTGTTCTGATTTGATCTGCACCTAGGAGCCATTCCCTTTTCTTTTTTAAGATTTTATTTATTTATTCATGAGAGACACAGAGAAAGGCAGAGACACAGGCAGAGGGAGAAGCAGGCTCCCTGCCATGAGCCCGGTGTGGGACTTGATCCCAGGACCTCGGGATCACAACCGGAGTCAAAGGATGACGCTCAACCACTGAGCCCCTCAAGTGCCCCCTCAGAGTCATTTCTTAATTTTAGCATTGTTTTGTCATCTGAGGAGGCAAGAATATTCAAAACCACTAGATCCTGGCAGCTTTTTAGGAAACCTCCTTTAGCTTCTCTCTTTGCTCTCACATTCTACTTTAAGCAGCAAGAAGACATCAGATAGCTTGTTCAACACCTTGCTTAGAAATCTGTGTAGCTGAATCATACCCCCTTAAGTCTATTTCTTACTTCGCATATCTCAGTAGGCAATAATGTTTCTGCCACGACAAAGCTCTCCCATCCTCTGGTTTGTAATAATATTTTCTTCACTTTCTTTTTAGCCCTTACCTGTAAAGCCTCCTCAGAGTCCATCAAGTTTCTACTAACAGCTATTCATGTATTTTAAAGATTTTATTTATTTATTCATGAGACACACAGAGGGAGAGGGCAGAGACATAGGCAGAGGGAGAAGCAGGCTCCCTGTCAGGAGCCTAATGCAGGATTCATTCCCAGGACCCCGGGATCACCATCTGAGCCAAAGATAGATGCTCAACCGCTGAGCCACCCAGGCATCCCAACAGCTATTTATTTATTATACTATTTATTGAAAGCTCTTCAGCCTTGCCCTGAACACCCTCCTCAAACTCATTCAAATTTTCCATACACTTTCCAATTTCAAAGATACTCCCATATCTTGGGTTTCCATTATAGCACCACAACATTTGGAGGTACTCAAATCCTTATTGTCTACTGTTGTGTAACAAGTTACCCTTATTACTTAATGGCTGGAAACAATAATAAATGCTTATTAATTCTAACAGTTTCTGTGGGTCAGGAATTTGGGAGTAGCCTAGCTCGGTTGTTGGGTCACATATAGTGTTGCATGGAACCTTGGTCATCTGGAGGCTTGACTGGGGTTTGAGGCTCCAATTCCATGTTGACTCATAGACGTGGCTGACAAGTAAGTGGCAGGTGTCGGCAGGAAGTTTCAATTTCTTTCCCCATGGACCTCTCCAGAGTGCTGCTGAGCATTGTTAGCATATGGCAGTTTGGCTTCTCCCAGAGTGAGTGATCCAAGTGGCAGCAGCAAGGCAAAATCCCCACCATCTTTTATGACCAAGACTTGGAATATCATTCATGCGATATCCTCCGGTTACATAGATCAGCCCTAATTCGGTGTGGGATGGAAATGCAGAAATATAAATCCCAGAGAAGAGAATCTGCAGAGCCATCTTGAAGGCTGGTTGCCATATAGTCCAAAATGAAGGCAGTGGTTTTATTTTTCGAAATGGGTTTTAACTTTATTTTTTCTTATTTCAAAAGAAATAAATGTTGGTTACATTAAAAAAGATACAAAAAAGCAAAAATATTTTTCTAAACATTCCAATACTCATACAGTTTGAAACCGTCACATTATATCCCTAAGTGTATATGGCTTTTTATAATTTTAAGGACTTAACTGGTAGAGACTTCGTAAAGTATATCCAAGTATGCATTGAGCATGTTTTCCTGGCCTTTAAAAATGGACAGACAGGGGATCCCTGGGTGGCGCAGCGGTTTGGCGCCTGCCTTTGGCCCAGGGCGCGATCCTGGAGACCCGGGATCGAATCCCACATCGGGCTCCCGGTGCATGGAGCCTGCTTCTCCCTCTGCCTGTGTCTCTGCCTCTCTCTCTCTCTCTCTCTCTCTGTGACTATCATAAATAAATAAAAAAAATTAAAAAAAATGGACAGACATCTCCAATCATATTAAGGGATGTTTTATTATACTAAGGGCTTTTTTTTTTTCTTCCTCCAATAAGTAAGTATTGCTTTCTCTGCTTTTCTGCTGGTGGGCCAGGAGCTCTCCACACCATATCTATCCTTTAGAGTTGAACTTTTGACAGGCATATTTTTCCAACTCTGGAAAGCCCTTGGACTTTAGAAGTGCTTTGAATTGGAAGCACTTGGAATTCAGAAGCCACAAAAATGCTTAATGCCTTTAGAATGCTGGACTAACCAGTTTTGGAGAGAAATCTTATATACCTGGCTCTTCTAAGTTGCACAATTAGAGCTTTTATATAAACATGGTCTTCACATCCATTCTGAAATCAGATACCCATCAACCAGTAGAATCACAGTTATGCTGATTTCTACAGGGAGCCCAGTGTTCCTAACAACACCATCCCACTTACTCCAGAAAGAATGTTCTACAGTGAGGAGGGAAGGTGTCCCCAAATCTTGGGTATTTAGTCCCCGTAGAAAACTCTCTCTTTTGTAAGAACAGGTGTCCAGAAAGGCTAGTTATAGTGGTGCTTTCGGAGTCAGAAGAGAAAAAAATGAGCTTCGAGAAACCAAGAAAGTTCCCAGCTTTGGGATCATTGGACTCCACATGCTTATTATATCATCACGCTGTCTTCCTCTCTTGTATAAAGAGGTATCGGTCTTCCTTTCCTCCCTACCTCCCTCTCTCCTTTCCTTCCCTTCCTTCCTTCCTTCCTTCCTTCCTTCCTTCCTTCCTTCCTTCCTTCCTTCTCCTTTCTTCTTTCTTTCTTTCTTTCTTTCTTTCTTTCTTCTTTCCTTTCCTTTCCTTTCCTTTCCTTCCTCCTTTCCTTCCTTCCCTCCATTAAAAAAGTTACACTGGTCATACAGGTTTATTGTAGAAAAATGAGAAAATGCAGAGAAACAAAAGGAACAAAATGAAATTTACCAACCAGATTTCACCACTGTTAAAATTTTAATATCCTTTCAAATGTGTTTTCCTACTTATTAGCCATTTCTTGTTTTTTTCAGGGAACTGGGTTAAAAAAGCAATAAGCTATTGCTTTCTTGCATTGAATATGTTTAGACAGACCATTATATGGGTTGATTCTTTATGAACTATTTCCTAATTTGGAAATAACTGAAAAAGTATACAAAACATTAGGCAAAAGTTAACACAGTTTTCATGAAATGTCTTCTTATTTTCTTCTTTTCCTCTTTCTATTTTTTTCCCCATTATGTAAAGATAGAGATGAAAGAAGGCAGAGAAGAAAAAAGGAAATTTGGTGGAGGTACAGTATATAACAAGAGAACAAAAATCAACTAAAACTAAGAGATATTAATATATTTCAGACCAATTTGGGAAGAGGGAAGGTAGTTGAAAACCCACATGGACCAGCATCCTTGCCCATTTGGGGATGGTGGTGAGGATGGTACTAAGGCTCGTTAAGTCAGTTGTCTGGACTGGAATTTGGTGCTGATGAGATCAAAGGGATGTAGTTCATCACTGTTAAACAGTGAGCGTCCCTCAAAGGTTCCGATCTCATGGCAGGGGCAGCACTAGGAAAGCAACGCCTCACAGATGCTTGTCACTGGTCCTAAAGGCCGCTTGGTGAAGGTGAGAATGACTCGGCATAATCCAACATCACTCCCCTGGGAAGAATGCCCTAAAGCACATCTTACTGATAAAGATCATAGTTTTTACTTGACCGCACATGATAACCTTGTTGGTTTCTTTGAATTACAGTTCAAATTGCCTTAATATTTGGTGCAAGAATATTAGACTATGTCTTCAATTTATGTGAAGGTAAATTTGACTTCCTTGAACGGCTCTCAGACAATTTGCTCCTGAGTATCATTTCTTATCTGGATCTTGAAGATATTGCCAGGCTTTCTCAAACATCACGCAGATTTGCAAAGGTAACAGATAATTATTTTGTGTTTACGTAGATTTTTCCTTTAGCTTCCTCAAAGTCTTGTCTGTCTTTCCTTCTTTCTTCCTTTCTTTTCTTTCTTTCTTTCTTTCCTTCCTTCCTCCCTTCTTTCCTTTCTTCTCCCTTCCTTCCTTCCTTCCTTCCTTCCTTCCTTCCTTCCTTCCTTCCTTCCTTCCTTCCGTTCTTTCTTTCCTAAACATAGTGGTTTATTGTTTGCATTCATTTCGGCAAGCATTTGCTAAACACTTACTTTATCATGAGTACTGTTTTAGGCACAGAGGCAGCAGAGATGAAAAGACATTATTCCTGTCCTCAAGAAATTTACAGTCTAATAGGAGAGAACCCAAACAGATACAGATTGTCACAATATAATGTGAACAATTCAATAAAGGATGTGTGTATGAAAAAAAAAAGGATGTGTGTATGAGGTACAAAGATTGTGGTTTCCTCTGCCAGGCTTCTCAGAACGGGCCACTTTATCTGGGTTTCAAGGGGAAAATAAGAATTCACGGTGGTTTGGAAGACTAGAGGCATTTCAGGCCAAGGAGCATTCCAAGTCCAGGCAACAGTTCAGGCAGAGATATGGCCTCATGAAAGAAGATGGCAAGTAGTGAGTTTTCTATCCGTCTTCCTTTCTTGCCATATCAGCCCTTTGCAGAATTCTTTATTCACAATGTGGGTGGTTTGGGGGAATTGTTCATCATAATGCCCTGCTCTCCTCCATGCCCCAAACTGACCAAAAGGACTCTCTCTCGCTACTTTGAATTCTCAGCAGAATGACCAGATCGGAAGGCACACCTGCTGCTGGTTTCACCCAACGCCTGGGCCTTGATGTACTCATTGTTGGTTCCTCTCCCTGGAACCTGGAAGGTGCATTGGTTCCTGCCCTGTCAGCTATTCCTAAACACACATACTGTCCTTCCATTAAGTCCTCTTTTGGCTTAAATTAATCAGAGTTGGAGTTTGAAATGGAAGAAACCTAACCCGGTATTTAGTTGTAATATACTGGGGGGAATGTCTGTTTATAAAAGAGCATGGAACATTTCCCAAGATGGTTTAAATCATATTTTTTTTTTAAGACAGTATTCAGAGGGCTCCTGGGTGCACAGTCAACTAAGCATCCGACTCTTGGTTTTGGCTCAGGTCATAATCTCAAGGTTGTGAGATCAAGCCCTGAGTTGGACTCTGTGCTCAATACAAAGTCGGCTTGAGTTTCTCTTTCTCCCTCTGCATCTGCCCCTCCCCCTGCATGCTCAAGATCTCGCTCTAAAAATAAATAAACCTTTGGAAAAAAAAAGACAGTATTCACCCATTTTTAAAACAAGGATTATTATTTTTCTTTTTTTTTAAAATTATTTATTTGAGTGAGCAAGAGAGAGAGAGAATGAACAGAGGGAGAGGGAGAGGGCGAAGCAGACTTCCCGCTGAGTAGGGACCCGATGCAGGGCTCTATCCCAAGGCCCCGAGATCATGACCTGAGCTGAAGGCAGGTGCTTAACTGACTGAGCCACCCAAGCACCACCATGCATTTTTATTTTATTTATTTGTTTGTTTGTTTGTTTATTTATTTATTTATTTATTTATTTATTTATTTATTTATTTTAAGTAAGCTCCACACCCTGAGATCAAGAGTTGCATGCTCTACTGACTGAGCCAGCCAGGTACCCCTAAATCAGAATCTTGTGATCTAAAGGTCACTATTTTTTTCACAATAATGCCATAATATTTCTTCATATATATTAATTTTAAATCATACAATCTATATTACTTCATGTGTTGCCTTTGAGGATAAAAGCACATATTTTCAGTTTTCCTCCTAAAAATGGAGAGCCAGAGACAAGTATTATGAGTAAGCATTGTATATTTTTTTGCTGTTAAAAAATGTATTAAAGTTAAGATTTGCTACTGATAAGAAGTTGATTGTTCATACTTTCAATGAAAAAGAATTTTAAATACATAAATATACTAGCGGGGGTCTGTCGAAATCTTCTGCTAGGGCCTGCGCTTGCTTGTTCCTGAAATGAAGTGGAAGGATTTGACAGGATGGCGGCGACTGCAGTGTCTTGTGCAATTTATTCCTCACGCTAAGCAACTGCCTTCTCTCCAGGTTTTGCTCACTTCCACTCTTGATGACTCTCCCTCTTAGCATCCTGCCATTATTTCAGTGCAGTCTTGGAAATATCCTCCGTAATTTACCTGCTGTTCTAAAGTAAGGCTTTTCTAGATTGCTGATTTCAGCTCTCAGTATCCTTGCAGAGCAGAATTTTTTGAAGCTGGAGAATGGTCCAGGGCTGCTGCCTTTTCCTCTCCATGTAATGGTAGCCACTCACTTCTGTCTGCAGTCTACATTTTATCCACCTACCATTTACTTACTTTTCACCTACATCTATAAATTATTTTTAGTTACCTGTTTTGTCCTGCCATTTTACTACCTTACTATTGGAAGGAAAAAAAGTTTCCATTTCAAATTTCTGCAGACAAAGGTATTAGGAAATTATTTGTGTCTATGTCCAACCCTTTCCTCTGACCTCAGGAAGGGAGGTGTCCTTTCCTCTGGGAGGCTAGCATCACCTGCCCCCTGGCTCCAAGGTTCGACCTGAGGGACTTTAGCCTGCCACTCATCTCCTTTCTCTTCTGTGGTGTTGTTATTTTTAAAAACCTTTCTTTTCTTTTCTTTCTTTCTTTTTTTCTTTTTCTTTTTTTTAAAGTAGTCTCCACACCCAGTGTGGAGCTGAACACAGCTGATCTCATGACTCTGAGATCAAGACCTGAGCTAAGGGTCGCCTGGGTGGATAAGTGATGAGCATCTGCCTTTGGCTCAGGTCATGGTCCTGGGGTCTTGGGATCGAGTCCCACATCAGGCTCCCTTCAGGGAGCCTACTTCTCCTTCTGCCTATGTCTGTCTCTGCCTCTCTCTCTGTGTCTCTCATGAATAAATAAATAAAATCTTTAATTAAAAAAAAAAAGACCTGAACTGAGATCAAGAGTTACACGCTTAACTGACTGAGCTACCCAGGTGCCCTTAAAAACCTTTTTGTTTATAAATAATTTTAGATTTGCAAGTGTTGCAAAGATAATACAGACAGTTTGTGAATACCCTTCACCAGCTTCCCCCAACACTGACATCTCACATAACGGGGACATTTATCAAAACTAAGCAATTAATACTGATATAATACTATTAACTAAGCCACAGACTTTATTCATATTTCATCAGTTTTTCCACTAATGTCCTTTTGCTGTTTCAAGATCCAGTCTGGGATGCTACATTGCACTTAGTTCCTATTTTTAAATCTTTCTTTCAATTGTTTTTTCCTCTCAGTACATTAATTTTTTCAAATCAGCCTCACCCTTCAAAACTCAAAAACTCTTGACTGTTTGTAGCCTGTCTCTTTCCTTTCCTCCTTGGGAAAATAACAAAACAATGTAAAACAGTTTACAAGACAGTTCACCCTCAACAAACTAGGATCATCAGAGTGAGATTTTATAATCTATGATGAAATGAGGACAGTAAGTAAATGAGATACAAAGAGTTTGTTATCAAGCCAATTTTTTTTCCATTGAAATGACTTTTTTTTAATAGTAGGCTCCATGGCCAATGTGGAGCTTGAACTCAAAACCCTGAAGTTGAGGGTCTCACGCTTCACCGACTGAGCCAGCCTAAATGGTCATCGTTTGTTGGAGGTTAGGCAACATAACTTTCCCTCTATTTTGGAGAGAGTTAAAATGTCCCTTCTTTTATGAAATAATCATTGTAACAGATTATCCTTACTTGGAAAAATTAAAAACCCAGTAACCTTATTTTGGTTCTTAATTTTTGTTTTGTGTGATTTCTAAAAATTTCACTGGTCTTGTGACATCCTGAATTCCGAAGCCACTAGTCTACTGTCAGCCCATCTCACCTCCCTTTTCTCCCTCTGTCCATGCCTCAGAAATATCCCTAATATCCCTGGCCTCGTTCACAGTAACCCCTTCATTGTCACATCTAAATGGCCTGTTTCAGGCCTTCCTCTTCTTGATCCATCTTTGCATCCAGGATTCTCTGCTGGCTTTTCTTCTGGCCATCTCTTGTGTTCCGGGTAGGATCTCTTTGGCCTATCTAGCCTTTGGCATTTGCTTATGCTGTTCCCTTCCTAGGAATGCCCTGCTTCAAACCCACCTCTCTTAACTCCCGCTATCTGCTCTTGCTCTGATTCCATGCTGATCCAACCACAGAGCCTCCAACGGATGAGCACCCGAGAGCCTGGTTGTATTTCTCATGGTGAACAACAAAGAGGCATCCTCCAAGAGTTTGGCTAATATGAGGACATCTCTGAAAGGTGAATCCTATGTCATGGTATTCTGGAAAGTCATCCTGAGGGCTAGCCCTGGGATTGCGGCAAGCTCCTGTCAGGCAATGCTGCCAGGAAGGAACCTACCTGGGGGCCTGCTGGCTTGGCCTAGGGGGCACCAGGCCTAATGCGCACCTGTTTCTGCAAACCACAGCAGAGTAGACACAAAGAACCTCTGCAGCTAGATGAAAGGCTGAAGCCCAGGCAGGGTAAGATGATGGTGACTGGTGTATAAATATAGTCATCTTGGTTGTGACTCAGGATCAGCTACAAACTCCCTCTGAGCGTGATTCCCAAGTCTGGCCAAGTAGGCAAAGCACCTGGGGAGCAGGTGAAAATAGAGATGCCAGGCCCACACCCTGGTAAGGGGTTGGCAAGGTCTGAGGTGCACCCAGCATCTGTGCCCTTGATGTGTTTGCCTGTGTTTACAGGAACCCAATTCTGAATCCAGCCCAAGAATTTGATATTAAAATGGTACAGAGAAAAGGTTTCAAGAGATTCTCAAAGTCTGGAAGATTAGGGGTGGGGTGAAGTGGGGTGAGGTGTTTTCCTATCTTCACTGTGTACAGGCATCGTGAAGTGTTTACATCAGACGAGACAGAGAGCTGGGTTCCACTCTTCGACCAGCCACTCCCTACTAGGAGCCTTGGACAGC